TGATGAAGTTAAATAAACCAATTAACGTTTCTTTTCATATTTTTATAGTGGGCTGAATATTGAGCTAAAAAAAACAAACATTAATTGAATTACGTTTGCGTTTAAAAGAAATAAGGGCAAATAAAAGAAGATCTGGGCAGTAGAATAGCTCTAGAATAACAACTATTCTTTTCTTCGAATTCTGAGAAATCTTAAGGATATGAACCTCGACTTGAGAAAAAATAAAACAATTTCCCTCTAAGCCAAGTTATGATTTTATATTATCCTCATCTTAAGTGAAAAGGAATTCCTTATTTTCTTGTGCTTCTTTATCATGATATCTTATGGTGTATTTTACTTTTATATCATTCTTTATTTATTACTTTTCTTTATAGGAGACAAATAAATGTATTTATAATATCATTTCTGTACAATTTAACTACAGATATCTCAGGCAAAACATGGAATTATAATAATCTACCAAAAGTACTCTAAAAACAAAATCAAATTCACATCGGTCTACAGTCTGGTTCATTCACATCAGTCTAAGGTCTAGTTCATTCACATGTCTACTTCATTCACATCCGTCTAATAAAGTCTAGTTCTTTCACATAAGTCTCATTTACACCAGTCGAACATTCACATTCGTCTAATAAAGTCTTTCACATAAGTCTAAAGTCTAGTTCATTCACATCCGTCTAAAAGTCTAGTCATTCACATCCGTCCAAATCCCAATTCATTCACACCTCCCATCTCTCTCCCTTCGTTCACATCCGCCAACCCCCTTTCCCCCTTCGTCCCCCTCCAGGTGAGCCTCTCCATCTGGCCGATCCTCCAGACGCTCAACTTCAGCCTGGTGCCCGAGAAGAACCGCGTCATGGCCATCTCCCTCGGCTCCTTCTTCTGGATGGTGTTCCTCTCCTACGTGCACCACACCCGCGCCGAGGACCTGCCCGCCGAGCTCACCACACGCCGCGTCCACTACGACTACAAGCACGGGCCGCGAGAGGCCATCGAGACGTGGGTGGCGGCGGCCGCGATCTCCTCGAACGCGGCCGGTTAGCACTGAGTACTAGCACTTGAGTAAGTAGAGGACACAGGAATGGAAAGTAAGGTGAGAGAACGGGATTAAGTAAGTAGAGGAACTGGAATGAGTAAGTAGAGGAAACTGAGTGAGTAAGAGGAACTGGAATGAGTAAGTAGAAAACTGGAATGAAAGCATGGACTATTAGTAGAGGGACTGGAAGAGTAGTAGAAAGAATATTGACTGAGTAAGTAGAGGAAAGCTGGATTGAGCAATGTAAGAGAACGGGGAAACTGAATGAGTAAGTAGAGAACTGACAGTATGTGAATGAGTAAGTAGAGGAAATGGAATGAGTAAGTGACAGGTAAATAAGGAATGGGAATGAGTAAGTAGAGGAACTGGAATGAGTGAAGTAGAGGAACTGGAATAAGTAGAGGAACTGGAATGGAAGTAGAGGAACTGGAATAGATAGATTGAGATAGATAGAGAGGAACTGTGTAGGTAGATGAATAGAGAGGAACTATTAGACAGATGACAGATTAATTAGTCGGATAGTAAAATAATAAAATGTCTTGACCTGGAAATGATAATAAAAAAAAGGATGAAGAGAGGAGGAGGAGAGAGGGGGACGAAGGAATGGTGACAATGAAGGTTGGAAGAATTGGAGAAAGAGAAGAAAGAAGGAGAAGGTGAGAGAAAGATAGTGACAGCGAGAAATGGGATAGAGAATAGAGAAGAAGGAGGGGAAGAGAGGGAGGCGAAGGATAGAGGGAGAGAATTAGGTAGGGTACAGCGGAATGGGAGAGAAGAGAACGAGATAGATAGGTAGAGAGAGAGAGAGAGAGTAAGAGAAAGTAGATGAGAGATAGAAGATAGATATAATGATAGATTATAGATAGAGGAGAGAGGAAAGAGAGAGAGAGACGGGATAGAGAAGACAGAGGGAGAGAGAGCGAAACGAGAGAGAGGTGTCAAAGGAATGTCAAAATGCCAAAACTAGGTCACCTGCAAAGGTAATGCTACATACTTGTATAAAGTAAACATCACTCTCTCTCTCTCTTTCTCTCTCTCTCTCTCCTCAACCTCTCTTCCTCGCCGTAGCCCTCCACTGCTCTCTACCCCTCCTCCTCTTCCCCCATCTTTCCCTACCCCGCTCGCCTCTTCCGGCCTCTTCCCCTCCTCTCCCCTCCCTCGACACCTCCCCTCTCTTCTCCATATCGCTACCTCCCTTCCCCTCGATCTCCTCTCTCCCATCTCTTTCCATCTTTGCACCTCCTCTTCCCTCCCTCATCCCCCGCCTCCTCCTCTCCTTCTCCCTTCCCCCTCGTCCTCCTCCTCCTCCTCATCTCCCCTCCTACTTAATGATTAAGTTTCCCCTTTGAGTTGTGAATGATTAAGGCCAGTTCATGCACAATGTTTTCCCCTTCGGCTTCAAAGGCGAGTGCGGCTGTTTGCTCGTTCTCGGCGAGGGCGAGGGTTTCGGGTCTCGTGTTGACG